TTTATACCATTTTTAAAATATTTTCTCAATTTTTTTTTTTCAATTAGATCCTTCAACTTTAAAAAATAACACTTTAGTCCTTCAACATTTGTCTATTCAACTTGCTTACAAATGAAGCAGAGAATCTCGGTTTAGATAAAGAATGAGATGAAAGAATGAGAAATTTCTCTTCATTAGCTAAACGGGGCTGAAGATGAAGATTATATCTTCCGTCTCTGTATTCGCCCCTACCCCACTTTTATATATATTGAGAAATTTTGTAGGGACAGATTAAAATGGAAGACGGGGACGGGAAAAGCTTCCATGTCCTATAGTAATCTCTAATAATAAGACCATTCATCTTTTAAGAATAAATTTCAAAAAGCAAAAGTCAAGTCGTAGGTCATGTGACCTATACTCGAGTTGGTAATTAACTGGATTTTTCTTAAATCAAAGTAGATCAGCCACTTTCTTGTTATCCAAAAGTCGGTCCACTACGGTTTGAGCTTCCCCTTGTACTATTTGGTCTTCATTCTAGAGTAGACTAAAAATAACCTATGACTGACCTAGCTCAAATTTGATGTTGATTCGGGCGAAATCCATGAGATAAAAGGTTTGGTTCACGAGAAATTGTATTTTTATTTATTTATTTATTATTATTATTATGTGTAAATTGTGTGATTAAAATGAAGAAAAAAAAAAAAAGAAACATACAATAAGTAGATAAAAAAAAATATTAATTATTAAGAAAATAATTAAAAATAAATTAATAAAATAATTCCCATTTGGACTTTTAATCCAAAGGTTATGATTATATTTGATTGTTGTGTGCTTAATGTATTCAATAATTAGCCCTAAAAAAATAATTATAAAATTAAAATAATTAGCAACAAACTACATGCACCCACGTGCACCGACATATATTTGTAGTTCATATGCTTAAAATTAAGCAGTTGCAATTAATTAATTAATTAATTAATTAATTATATTTTTTAAATTAAAATATAATTTCCGTCCCTATTCTTTTGATCACGATTCCATTTTATATGGTTATATTTTTAATAAATTTTAAATTTATTTCTTACTGCGAGCAACGATATTGGGATAGGACTGAGTTTTTCGCTCTTAGAAGCTCCCTACTCTAACTTCCATCTCGAGATTATTTCGAGGGGATTAACTAGATCAAGAGTAGGATAGATGATCCCGATGTAAGAAGAAATTGAATCAATACACTTGACCTTGAACCCATTGCTTCTACCCCTCTTCGATGCCCTGAAAATTGGAATCCCGAATACACCGAAAATTGGGTATAAGGGACGTGAGAACCAATTTGAGTAATCAATGATGCCAAAAAGTCGTCTAACTCAGGAGAGAAACCGAAAATATTATTCTCGACCCCATCTCGTAAATATACCTCATTTGAAATTCATAACCCACTTATTATATTATAATATATATATATATATATATATATTTATTATTATTTTTTTTTTTTGGAGTTATTAAGAACCCTCTCTATATAATTAATTAATTAATTCTCCAACTGTCACCGTCAAAAAAGTAATTTAATTTATATAATTATATTAAAAAAAAAAAGAATATTTTTGTTTAAAAAATGGAATCTTATTATTATAATTAATAATACATCTCAAAAGTCTCATATGGCTGCCACGTGTCAACGCTGCTGACAGAGGTCAAAAGTCTCCTATGGCTGCATTATTTGTGGAAAAAATAAATGAGATTATTTCCTTTTTTATTTTTTTATTTTTTATGATTAAATTATTTTTGAAATTAAATCCACATATATATATATATACACACACATATATATATATACTCGTGTTGGTTTGTGACCTCCGGAAAATTTTCAGTGGAAGAACGTGCGTAAAGTTAAAACGTGCAAAACCGACTCATACTTATCTGTCTATAAAATATTCTTCACTCTTAGAAACAGGTCAGAAACAGTAGATAACGTGATCATATCATAAAAAATGCAGAAAATGTTCGAAACCATTCAGATTAATGTATTTTATGATGGTATCATTATAATTTCGTTAACATATTAAAAATGGACGGGTTTAATTATTTTCCACTTGAGATATATTTAATCATTAGATGCTCTTTTTTTGGCTCAACATGAAACATTCACATGGATGATAACTTGGCCTTCAAGAGGACGTTGTAATTGGTAACTTATTTGGATTTTCTCAAATCCGACATTTTTGTTGTTTACAATGATTGAAGTGACAACGTAAAATCATCGATGTTTTTTTAAGGTATGAAGTGTTTTTATTGTAATAAATATAATTTTTAAGATATTAGTGATATCGTGTACAGGAAGGCACTGATCGTGACGTCCGTGAAGATAATTTTTTTTGTTTTTTTTTTTTTTTTTATCGTTCATGTATAATACTGCCAACAAGCTGTTGATCGTGTAAGTCACCCATTGCTGACACTTGATCGCCATGTATAGCACCACTCTTCGTTGGTTTTCGTTGCACCAAACCATTAACGTCAGTAACTATTTGTTGTATTTTTGTCGATGGATTTCTTTACCTTACCATTGTTGCTAGCTACACGTCATCAAGAGGAATCGTAATTTTCAAAGTTGTTTTCTTCCTCTCTCATGATTTTAGTCAACGACTACAGCCCATCCATGGAGCATTTTTTTAGCAGTATGTGCAATGAGCCAAATCCAACATTTAGTTCGAGATGAGGTTCGTTTTTCTATAGGGTGTCATGGTTTGTTTGATACGAGATCAACCCATGAAAACTTTCGAGATTTTTTTGGAAGTACTGTTACGTTTGGATTCGGGATTGACAAAGTCAAAACAAAATTTGGACGAGTAAACAAACAATTTGAGTTGAATCACGAACCAACTCGATCTATAAACCTTTTCATTTATTTGAACTCAACCCAACCTAAACTTTATACGGGTTTGTTAAGTTATTGAGTTTTTTGAACAGTCCTAGTTCGGGTTGATTCGAACCTTTATCCAATAAATCTAAAATCCTGAAACCGAGTCGATTTGGTTTCAGAAAAATAACTCAGTCCAGGTTTAATTAGTCAAGCTTTTCAAGTTTTTGAGGGCAGGCAGACACAAATAAAATAAATGTTTTAATGAGTTTATAATGTTTTTATTAAATACCAATAAAATAGAAATTCATATTAATAATTTAAATTACATAAATTGAAATAAAATTAAAATTAAAAAAAAAAAAGGATGTCGGTAAGTGCGATCCTAAGGGCAGGAAATTGTCGGGTGGACGTTGCCATGCTTTAATTAATAATATAATAATTTAATAACTTTTTGAGAATTATTAGGAATTTGTCGGAACAATTTTCCTTAATTCTCAATTAAATTACTGTCGGCAGTTATTAAATTCATAATTCTCATTTATAATTTATATTTTTTAATCATGTTTTTCCTATTTCATTTACTTAGATTTTTTTATTATTTTAGATTTGGGTTGGATTAAATTTTTAAAAATAAAAATTTCGGGTTGATCTGTAAATTGATATATTTTTTTGTTGGGTCAACCCGACCTATCAAAAGATAGGGTTACAACAAAACCGAGCCTACTTTTAGTATTGTTAGGAAGATTAAGAATATTTGATGTTTGTGATCGATGTTAATAATGTGTTGTGACTCGTGAATGTTTGATATTTGAGTTCTATAAAATTTTAGTTATTAAAGATAAAATGAATTTTAAAAAATTTTAAAAAAATATAAGAGGATTGACTGATTTTTTTTTTTTTTTTTTTTTTTTTAAGG